ACCACTGCTCACCCATGGCCACAGGCACTGGCAATGCCACAGTCCCCAGGGCCCCAGAGTCCCCTTGGCTGACAGGACTTAAACAGAGGACTCTGCTAAGCACTAGCACACATGGCTGCAGGACTGGCACCACAAGCCAACACTGAGGAGTCTCAGAAAGGCCAGCCTCAGAAATCCTCAGGACTGCATTTGTTTCTCAAGGTGCCACCTGTCTGCCCCTTCCTGAGCCAGCTGCCTCACAAACAGCTGCTTCTGCAGTTTCACTTGCTGTTCATATTATCACAAGTCTGTTCATATTTTCCTGCATGCACACACTGGCCAGAGCTTGTACGAAGGGGAGAACAGGTAGGAAGATCCTACCAGAGAGCATGAAAGACAAAACAATTTAAAAGTATGCCCATGCTGGCAAGTAGCAAGAGCCCAATGTTCATATTCTCCAGTTCATCATGCTCTGCTCTTGCATTGCTGATTCAGGAGGTCTCAAGGTGGTAGAGGGTGCCAGCTCCCAAAGAGAGGACCCATCTTTCTTTCCATAGATTTTTTTGGCCATCTGGCTTGAAATCTCAATGTAAGATACCTTAAACAAGTCTGAATCGTTTTTCTCCATCAGTATTGAAAGCTAAATCCCTAGGTGAATGGACACTGAAAATCCCAAGGAAATTTTGAAAATCCTCGCCCAAATAAATATCCAATTAATATTTATGATATCAAAGCACTGCAATGAAGGGAGAGAACCCTGAGTATAAACCTCTGTTCATTGCAACTGCATTGGGAATGAGATCTGGGAAACCCCATTTCTGAGTAGGGCAGGATCTCCTCAACTTGCACATGCACATACAATGCTGGAAGTCATGTCCACCCTTGCAGCAACTCCCCAGCTTTGTCCTCGTGTCCTGCACGGAGGTGAGTCTCACTCATGGCAAACATCTCTCACTGACTGTCAAACCCAAACACAAATTATTGCCTTGTTGCTGGAGGTCAGGGGAGGTAAAAACTTCACATGAATACGCTGGAAACAGAAAACAAACACGCAAAAATCCCCAGCAAGAAAGGACAAGCCAACCTTAACAAGCAAGTCCGTTACCCGTAAATAAAAGGAAGGCAATCACAACATGCGCTAAGCTTGGGGGAGCCAAAAGTCATCTCGTGTCTGTGGGTGACTGATGGCTCGCGGGCTTTCCAGCACAAACTTGCCTGGTGTCATTTGTCACCTGCGAGGGGTAAGCTGCTCCTGAAGGCTCCTCTGTGCTGCTGTGTGCGTGCGTGCATGTAACTCACGGAATTTCAGCAAAGTCGCATAAGAGGATTGTAGTCCTGGCTCAGCTAAAGACTTAGGATTCTGCATAATGTGTTAAGAGGAGCTTAATGCAATCCTAGTACTCTGCCACAGAAACCCCGAACAGCAGCCTGTCTGTTCTCACCTTTCCCCATCTGCTAGCCAGCTGTGGAAGAGCTGGCTGGCCCTAGGACTGCTTAAAGGAGCAGGTGCATAGAGAGAGTTTGGGATTCTACATCTGTCTTCTCATGAGAGCAGATTTTTTTGCTCACTACAATAAAAAGACACTATGCAGAACAACTGATGCAAAATTCATATAGTGTGGAGAATTCACATTTTTGCATAATCTGGAGGCCTCTGGATGATGCCTTATAAGAAACGAGGCTTCATAGCTCTGAAAGACAAATAGAGAGCCAGAAAAGAGCAGTTTCATGTCTCAGTGGCAGGAAGTATTCTGAAAGTGAGGAATTAATCCCTTGGCCAAAATTACGTCATCTAGGAGGACATGTGCTATTGTGGAATAAGTTATCATGGCTAAGGCAACACAGGTAAGTGTGCACTTGAGATGAGACCAGCTGTCCGAGGATTAGAGCAGGGATGGCAAAGCCTAGGGAAAAAGGAACAGAAAGGCGAGATACTCATAAATCAGACATGAATATCAGGCAATAGTGAGGTCAAAAGGTTGGGTGAGGGTGTTTCCTGCTACTCAGTTGCTGGGAAAGTTTGAGTTTTAACAGCCAAGCCAGAATCACACACATCCTTATTCTGCTTATTCTGAACTTCATGTAATTGTGCCCCAACAGCAAAACAAATCGATTGTGAAATCCTTTCTCCTAGATTCTGCGTATCTTCTTCCTAGATTCTCAGATTATGATGGTGCAGTGTTACCAACAGTCTTGCTACATGCTTAGGCACTAGCCCCTCTGGACTGTCCAGTCACCGCCTCATATAAATAAAGAAATAATAGTGCAGAATATGAAATAATGCATATTATGAAACAATTATGCAGATATCCCAAAGTTATCACACCGACCAGGATACTAGCACAATAAAGACTGGGGGAAAATAATCAAGGAATAAAAATTATTAAAACCTGGTTTGCACACACATAGCAAAAAATAACAGTTCCAGGTGAATGTGAATGAGGCAGGGAAAGGAAGTGGACTGGAATATGAGTTATTCCCTATTCTGGAAGACAGCAGAATGCTAGAACAGCATTTCAATGCTCCCCATGCTGGAGAGTTTCTGAGTAGAGAATAGGAAAAGTAAAATGGCTGTAACAGCAGATCAGTGATACAAAGTGATCCCTGCTGTTCGTAATCGATCAGCAACCAGGTGATGTGTGTAATAACATCTGTCCTAGATGAATATTGCAGGGAGTAGTCCATATAAACAATCTTTACATGTTTTTGAGGTTGCATTTTGGAAAGCAGTGACTTTGAGAAGCTCTGAAGGGTTACAGATAATTCACTAGAAGATGGCTCTTGGCAGAAGAAGCAAGAAAGCCTAACCTATTCCTCCTGGTAGATAATTGAGGAGACACGGAGTAGCAGAAAGAACATTTCCCACTGGCATGGCATTGACAAAACACACATTCAAAAGGGAAGCAGAATGACTTGGAAAAGTTCAGAAATTAGCTACAGAAATTACATACAATCTCTAAGATATTAGCTAGGATAAGAAATTCTTCAGGATACCATATAATTTGTCTGAAGAAATTTAGGGACACTATGATATTTTAATGTTCTACTAAAGAAAAATGCACCCAATAGCAGAAAGGTCTATTACCCCACAAACAAAACCCTAATGAATTCCAATCCAGAAAATGAAAGTCATAAAATTCAAACTGAAAGTAAGATGCAGGGGTGGGGGCTTTTTAAGATTTCAGGAAAGAAGTAACTGAAATCATTTCCTGAAAAAAACACTGAATTTGTCATCACTTGGACTCTTTACATCCAGTCTGTGATAATTGCTAAAGTACGTGGTTTCGTTTACCAGAATGTACTGGGTTTGATAAGTACTGGGAAAGAATAAAACTGTCAGCTGGCCAGGCATAGCTCTGTGTGTTGGGTTTTGCAAGTGATGTGACGAGATCAGCCACTGTGGTCCTTGTGGCTGCAACAGTCAGATCTTGTACTGCATTTTCCATCTGTAATTCTGACAGTAGCTTTCATAAGCAGTCAGTGAGCTGGACTGACCCACTGTGACTGTGACCAGAGAGTCTCCTTCCTCAGTGCCTGATCAAGGCTAAAACCTTTGTTGGCATTGCCTAATGACCACTCTTCTTTTGAGGGGACAGATAATGAGAAATGGCCTCTGTGAGATTTCTCCACAGCTTCCAAGCTACTTAAAGTTTGGCATGTGGGCAATCCTGGAGCCAGAACCAGAGTCTCAGTGAAGTTTTCCTTACATCTGCTGGCACTGATTTTATCATCCCTGTGCTGTGTTCTCTAGAAACCTATGCACAGGGTGCAATGTGAGCACCAACCTTTTATATCTGTCGAGGTGATGACTCAGAAATATACTGCTTTTCACTAGGGCCAGCAGTAGATGTAGAAAATTAGGTGTATAAACAATAACTATTATCAGTTTTGAGGTGTGCCTACAGGAGAGTTAGGTCCTATCAGGAACTTCAAAGAGACAAGAAGAACTTATGGTATAAGCAATAGGAATGGAGAGTTCCATACTTGACTCCAGCTCTGAGCTTTGCTATTAATGGTCTTTGATTGCATGCATGTCTGTCTCTATGCCTGGACTTCTGCAGCAGTAGAAAAATTGTACTTCCTGTCTCCCACCTGTATCTTTACAGATTCCCAAATCCAAGGGCTGTCTCTCTCCACCTACTCTTGTGTAGTGCCCAGCAAAGAAAAGTGCTTTTGAGCTTCTCAACTAATTTTCTAAAAAAGTGTCTAATAACAACTTCCATGTCCGCTGAATATGGTCACAATTTAGGAAGTAAAGTGTGTGGTCCTAGGTGAGATTTTGATGGAACCAAACAGATTGTACTGATGACGGCTAAATGTTTACATTTCATTCTATCATCACATTCAGTAAGATAAGTTCTTCCAATATCTAAAAGATATATCATTCCCCCAGTCTGCTCTGTAGTCTGTGGGCTCATATGGTTTTAAATGATTCCAACTCTCAGAACATCGTCCACTAAAGACAATTTCTTTCTTCCCTCTTTGACCACTCCTCTCTTTCAGTACACTCTGTTCTTCCCTGCTTGTGTTATTTCACTATAAGTATTTGAGTCCTGCCTGCTACAGAGTGATTTTTGATTTTGTGTTGTGTCCAAGTAGAAGCTTGCTAGCCTGCTATGGAAATAATTGGAAGTTTTTGCATTCTTTTCTGTGAGCTCTTGGACTAGGTTCACTCAAATTTTCAGTTTACTTGTCTTATCTTTAGCGCTGAGAGCTGGATTACTATGGCTGGCAGGTATGGAGACCAGACTCCTTCCATAACACAATCATCTAAGAAATACACATTTTAAAGCTTGCTTAGAAGCTAGTAAGGAGGAAAAATAGAAGTGAGATGAGTCTGGTACAAGACAGTAATACTGGTATTCAAAACCCCATTTGTCTACTGCTAATGAAAATAATGGTTCACTAGAACATTTACAGGAGCAAGAAACACCACATCTCACATGCTGGGAAGAGAATGGAATAAACTGCTTCTGGAGAAAAGATTGAGATGCAGTGGAAGATTATGGGTAGTGAGCCATCGGTTATTAGTGAATTCTTTCATTTATCATAGAGGATGTAAATATTCCACCTTAAATAGCAGAACACCATCAAAATATCTACCAAATGCTTGAAAGACCACGAAGGAACATACTACTTGACACTTCCTAAAGCAGTTGCACATCCAGAACAAGGCAGATTGCTGAGAGCTTGTCTCTTGACACTCCTGCTCACAGGGTCTTGTGAAGTCAGGCTCTGCAGAGCACAGGTTTCCCTCTGGGTATTACTTCTGTATTCCAACATAACCAGCTGATTCTGATTCAGCAGTGGTGGCTTCCAGAAACAGAGGGAGTGCCCATCCATCTCTTGACAGGTGCTGAATAGAAAAATGAAAGTAACTGAATAAAAATCCCTGGAAACAGAGATGGTGACAGCAAAAGAGGGGAAAGTAACTTTGTTACTCATCAGGCTATTACCTTTGGGAAGGAAACCGTGTAATTTAATATTCCTCTGGACCATTCATCTTCATTCTCCTAACTTGATATCAATAGCTGCCAGGTGGTGCCTGCAGAGGCCATTCAAATCAGATTATGTTATCATAGTTCTCCAGTCATCTCCAAGAGCAGGATCATGATCATGAGGAGGAAATCTAGTTATTCAGGTACATGTTACCTTATTAAAAGTTTGAGCAAAGTACATTGAGCCATTATAATGGGATTAGGGTTTGAGTTGTGTTCTCATGGTTGCCATGACTATGTGATTTTGGTATTGTGCTGTGGGGCTTGGAGAGCACAGCTCGACTCTGGACAACTGCAAATAATCCAGGCCATCATCGCAGAGGAGTGGACACCAGCATGGACTGTGGCCAAGAGCATGAAGCTTGTAAAGATTATATTTATGTAGGTACAAATGCCTGAGGCAGAGACTGAAGGAGAGGTGTGGAAGGATACCAATGCCTACTCACACTAAGCAAAGCAGCAGTCAGGGAGAGCAAGAAGAAACAGCTTTGATAAACCTTCCAGATTGTCTCTCAACACCCATTTCCAGCCTTTTGCTTCAGTGTTAACACGTCGCCCCAGAAATCCAGTCTTTTCTCATTAGTGCCACCTGTTATAATAGGGTATGAGGAACGGGTTTTTCTCCATTTGACAGGAGTTCACGGGGTTTGATGTCCTCCTCCACATTCTCGGTGAATAGGAACCCACATAACAACAGGCACTGAAAGGTGCCACTCAGATATAGACAGTGAAGGACAAAAGCCAAGGCAAGCAGGAGGAGCAGACTGTGACAAACATCAGCTTCCTGAGCTGCTTTTGCAAAGAACTGTCTTGCCCCAGAACCAACAACACAGCATTTTTTACTACTACAATTTGAATAGAACTACTACAGAGGTGAGATTCTCTGTCTAGGATCTACTCTTATAATTCAGCGACACACCAGCTCACCCAGGAAATGTTATTAGTGATGACCCATGGACAAAATGGTCAGATTCTCAAAAAAATCTTGTCTCACTGTAGGGTGCAAGTCTCTCCGTGAGTCCTGAGTATGTTTGAAGCCATATGCCTTTTATTTTAAACTTTGCCTTTTAATTTGTTCTGGTCCCACCAGCCTTAAAATGGTTGGTCACTTCTCACATTTTAGTCCCGTGACTGCTGCATGGGTAGCACAGGAGACATTTCTAACAACAGGGAAAGCAACATGTCTTTTCCAGCTACTCCTGTGCCTGGAATAACACTGACATTTTGGGACCACTTAGTAGGTTCCTATTCTTAATCTCCCGACAAGGAGTCAAAAGTACCTTGTCAAAACTGACAAGGGGTAGTTGTGGCCCCCTCAGAGAATGGCCAAAGCTGACACGTCTCCACACATACTTTCCCAGGAAGGTTTATGGCACAAGGCTCAGCCCTTTCCTGTTATTACTGCAATCCTAAACTCACATGGCCAGCACCAGCCCAGATGTGTGCCTTCTGGCCATTCCCAGCTTTTGATGGTATGTATATACATCACTGAATCACACAGAATCACAGAATGACAGGATATGCTCAGCTGGAATGTGATCCATAAGGATCGCTGATGTCCAACTCCTGGGCCTGCACAGGACCATCCCCAAGAGCCATGCCATGTGCCTGAGAGCATTGTCCAAATGCCTCTTGAACTCTGACAGGCTGGTGCTTGACCACTTCCCTGGAGCCTGTTCCAGTGCCCAACTACGGGTAAGAAAAAAAAGTTTTAACACCTGCCAAACCCTCCACATTTATATATGCAACTGCTGGGTAAGGAAATGCTGTCATTACTGCAGTGCCCAGGCAGAGAACAGAACACACCCCTATCCCTTCCCTGATTCACTAAATATGCAGGACATTGTCTCTCCTGATCTATCACTCCACAGTAACAAGAAGTGTGACAGGTACTGAGGTAGAAGATTGCTCCCCTTCTGCATAGGGACCTGAATGAAGACAAACTCCTAACGTGCATCTGCAAAGTGCTCCTGGACTTGGGATTAACTCCTGGAAAACAGTTACACACTTAAAACCTTCAGCTGTCATAAAGCCTTTTTCACACACTCCCTCCCTGGATTGTTCTCCAAACCTGTCATGTGCTCAGGGATAAATCCCTTGATGAAGAGATTTACTTTTTTTTTCTTCTTCACATTATTTTAATATATTTTATAATCATTTTAGTCAGCATTTTTTCCTTTGGTAATGCAGATGTTAGATTTTGGAGTGGTAAGAATACCCATGCATCCATGAAATGTAATAATTTCTGTTATGGGTTAAATGGGTACAAACAGGCAGTGCAGATTTGCCTAGGACAGGACAGGATTCCCCTCTCCCAGGGACCCAATGACTCAGGCAACAAAAAAAGAGGCAAGGAGTTGCCCCATCCAGGGTCTTGGCATCAGTCCAGGCTCTTCCCATCTTGTCCCAAGGGATCCATTCCCTAGAGGTGTGTGGTGGAAAGAGCAGGGCAGGGGAGCCCTATGGAGATGGCTGAAGGGTGACATTCATCCAAGGTGGGGAAAGCTGGACCCATTAGGTCTGAAGAGACATGCAGGCTCCTGCTGGCTCTCTGCACAGGGCGCCAGCCACAGCGGGCTTCTTTGTATGAAATCCTGGCCCCGCTCACAGACTACCATGTGTCCAAGAAAATCCTCTTTTTTCTCATCCTCCCTCTCTCCACAAAGAAATTCTTCCATGGAATTTCTTAGAATCCCAGAATGTTGGCCATTCAGCTGAAGTTTCTGGCCGCAGCACAATTATAATTGGTCTCTCATGGACAGGCTCAGCACGGAGGCCAAAAAACTGCAAGGGTTATTAATGACTGAGTTCCCTTCTACTTCCTAACAACCAGACAGGCAGGAAAGCTAGAGGGGAACACTTGGGGCTGAGCCACTACTCTCCTCTCACACACACTGTCCTGGTGCTCCAGCGCCTTCTTGCAGACACAAAACCGTCCACAGTGCAGACTCCAGATAGCACTGAGAGTTGTGAAAAGCAGATCAGGCATTCAGAAGCCCCTCTGGTGCTCAGAGAACATTTTGGGGCCTTCCCCTGCAGCTGCAGTGCACATCAGGGTGCAACCTTTACAAAGGCACCTGGTTTGCCACAGGCAAGGCTGGAAGGATAAAGAGACACAGCTGGAATGGCAGACTGAGAAAACAGAGTCAGACAGAGATCCTTCTCTCTCCACCCCTCAAATAAAAAGACTGTCTCAGGAGAGGTTCAAACTGAGCAAGAATCATATTATTATGATTATTACATTCCCATTTTACAACAATCACATGGCACAGTGCCAGCTGGCACTGGGAAGCCATTGCTGCTTCTCCTTCCTTGCCTGACAAACACCGTGACAAGAATACAGTCCTTGTTAGGTCGAGAACTGAAAAATGGGAGAGGAGAGGCCAAAAACACCTCCTTGAACAATCACTGACAAGTAAACAGAGCTGCACTTGGGAAACACATATTTTAAACATATCTTCCCTGAGGTTTTTGGGGAGGGGAGCTTGATGCATGGGTTGGGAAGGTGAGTGTGTTCACACTCAGGCATATTTCTGTGGTGTCAAGCAGGCTAGTGGCAGCTAAGAGGAGCGTCCGTGATGCCTTCATTTCACAGGGGAAGATAAAAGTCCATGAAGCTGAGAATTTAGGGACTCATGCCAACATAGCAGCTTGGGTAAATTTGGACTGGCACTCCATGCTGGTCACGGCTGTGCTCAACCTTTGATAAGGGTTTGTCTCACAGGAGCTCCTAGCAATCTATGGTCATTCCAGCAAGCCATTCTCTTATCAAAGGTCATGTCAAAAATTTGGAGGGAAGCAGGCCTAATAAATGCAGATGACATAGAGCATTGTTTATTCACATTAATGTTCCTAAAATCATACCTCCCACTGACTAAACAACTGTATGGAAGCACTGGGAAAAACTGTTGTTGTTTCATCAGCAAAATTGTGCATGTCAGATGCTGCGGTTGAGTAATTTTACACTTAGTTTTGGACAGGGGAGCTAGCACTAAAGGTTTGGAAGTAATAGATTTCAGAAAGACTTGTGCCTAGTCCTGAACATGAACCACTTGTACCTATAAGACAATCTAAGGGAACTGTTACCACGGCAAGTTATTAGGTTTGTTCAAATGTGCATCCTTTTCCCTGCCAGTCTGCCAGGCCAAGACATTAAATTCTGGTAGCTGAAACACTGATTTCACCCAAGCAACATTTGCACCAACCCACCTGCGAAAGGCAGGACTAGATTTGGCCTGTGCAGTCTCTGGCTGGTTTGATAAATATGACAATAGCTGTGTTCTTGTCCTGCCCTAACTTTCCAGGGCTGGCCAAGAGCCCTGGGGATGTAAGGGGGTGTCCCACAGGGGACATTTATGTATCAATGTTTGGCATCTCCTCCCTAGAAATAATTGCCCAACTATTGTCCCTCCCTGCAGTGAAGGTCCTATATTTGATCCCATTTCTGTCACACTTTTTATGACCTTTAGCAAATCTCTTCATTTCTGCTACATCTGAGACAAGTTCATCTTCATCGTCTTAAATAGGCTGGGACTCAGATGAAGCTTCATGAGTGTCCTTGAACAAAGTCCACCAACTGCTGTCTCTTGAGCAGCCCTCCCTGAGATGGCAGCAAACCAAATCAGTGTGCTGAAAGTTCCACGGCCCCTGTGATCCACTTGTAATCAAAAAGGCAGAGACCAAGAAGGGGTCCATACCTCATTTCTAGTCTGCAAGGCTCAGGAGGCTGGTACAGACTCCTGCTCAGCTCTGCCCCTCCTTCTGTCCTTCCTTCCACAAGAGACTGATTCAGGAGAGTAAAAAGGCTCTATGAAACAACAAGTAAATGGAAGAAAAAGAGATCTCTGGTGAATATCCAAAGGCATTTGTCAGCAAAACCCTTTTAGTGGCCAGTTCTGCCTCCACCTTCCTCCCCAGAACAAGCATCCTCATAAAAGAGGGCTGCAAACAGACTATGGATATCAGGCCTAAGATCACAGCATGGCTGCTCCACAAAGCATGAAAGTGAGAGAAAAATGGGAAGGGAGGGTAACAGCTAATACTCTCCAACAGCCTGTCCTCTCATGCTTTAGTAAAACTGGTGCTGTGATCTTGCAAGGTAATAAGGAAGACAGAGTGATTTGCTACTATCCACCCTGTGCCCCTCCTATGGTAAGATTTAGATTTAGCTCTCAGTGACCAAACACAGCTGGTGAGAGTGACGTAGCTCTCTGCCTGGATCTATTTTGGCTTTACTTGTTCCTCCTCTCTTCCCTCCCACCTTGCATTTCCCATATGTAATTTGGAATTTTTAAAAATCAAATTTCCCTGGTGATGGGTTTGCATTAATCTTGGGATACGTTTGCATTGACATTACTCTTAGTTTCTTCTCTTCCTCAGACATAAAATGTTTTTGCACATGGATGGGGAATCATTTTTTCAGGCATGACATTCAACCTAGATCCAGCTGAACTAAATAAATGATTTTTATGAGGATGCATATAATAGCTAGGCCACGAGTAAAAGATGGCATGAGAGTTGTGGGAGGTTGTCCACACCTGGCACACACTAAAGCCCTTTCTCCAAGCAGCATAATACTCTCCAGTGTGTACCACTCAGGTGGATTACACAGGGAAAGAGAGGGACTGGAAAAAAGGCCAGCCTTCAAACATGAAATTGTGGCACTCTTCTTTTGGAGCAGGAATGGCTGGTATGAGCAGCTGGTTATTGTAGGCAATGTCCCAGCTTCCCGGTCTCCAGCCCTGGTGACCATGGGAGAGAAGTGCAGGCTTTCTGAATGACCAGGGCTTTCTAGGTACTACAGAGATTTGAAGAGTGTGGATAGAAGTTGATAGTGAAGGACCTCAATTATTTAGCCCTCAGTTTATCACCTCTGCTGAGCCCACACCAAAGCAGCGCTTCCTGTCCTACCTATGCCTGTAACTCTTTTCCTGGTACCCAATAAATACTCATCAATAACAGCACTTAGTGCTTTGTCACATGTTCTACCTACTAACCCCAGACCAGAAAATATTTGACCCTGAGTGATGTTTTCTTTCTCCCCAACCGTACTTTGTAGTATCAGACTTCAATCTACGTCCAACTCAAACTGAGCTAAAGAATGTGTTGTTGCTAATGTATAACCAGGGAGTGTGAAGCTGCGTGTGAGAACAGCACACACACCAGAGTCAGAACAACAGCAAGCACATTGTGCTGCTGCAGAGCATTGTTTGATGTACTTTCTGCAGGACTGTGTCTGGAGAACTCAAGTTGAAGCTAGCTCCAAATGCAGCTGCCTGCCTGTTCCAGGGCCAAAGCACATCATGGAAGAACTGAAGACTCATCCCTTCTAGGTGTTTGGTTTTAATCTGGACTGCTCAAAGATGCCTAAAATCTGACTAATACCAAATCTGTCTCTTGCCCTATGCCACACTGTCTGGAGACTGTCTGGGAGGAGATTTAACAGAAACTCCCTGCGTCTGTGGACCTGGCATCAAACCTTGCCTCTCCAAAGCTCGATTTGCTAAGCCTGCTGTTGGCCACATCCCGTTCCTCTCACACGCAAAACTTCTGCTGTGTGATGAGCTGAGAGACATTGGGGCAAGGGAGCAGCAGCTTCCAGGATGACTTCAATGGTGTGTTATGCACGAAAAAGGCACTTCCTACATTTAAGGATTGCAAAGGCATATGTGTAGTCATTTAGCGGGAAGCATTCCTGCAGTCCCATGAAGAGCAAGCTTATGAATACACTGCATTCCCTGGTGCCAGCTAACATCACCAAGGTTTGACAAACTGGCACCTGCTCACAGTGGGCAAAGGTGGTTCAATTAAAATTCCCTTGGATCAGCTGAGACACTCCAGTTTGGCAACTGGCATGGTGGTTGTGAGGCCAGCGTGGGTGAGTGGGTGAGTTGCAGCAGCACTGCTGCAGGCAGCACAGAGGATCCCCCAGGCAGGAGAGGCTGCATGAGCCAGGTCAGAGATGCCTCCTACAGCTACAGCAGCTACCTCAGATGCACTACATGCTTCCACCCACCATGGAACATTTCCTAATACCTTCTGACAAACCCAGCATGTTGCCAAAGGAGAACAGACTTTGCCTGCAGCTAGAGTGCCCAAATCCAAAATACGTGCCACAAGCCAGCATGTGCGAGACCAGGCAGAGGCAGGGAGATTTTGCACGGTGTATCCAGAGCAACCAGATGGGACAGTTTTCACATAGCAATGAGTGAAATGATGGCAGGCCAAGGTGGCTGATGGCGAGCTCAACCCTCACACAAGAGGAATGCAGCATGAGGAACCTGCCAGGAGCACTGAGCAAGGGTCTCAGAGGAAATGAGAATTATTTTAGTGGCTCAGGTGATCCTCAGAGGCATCTCAGGATGTACTCAGACTGGGAGCAGTCTCTGTGTCCCATTGACTATTGGTGAAGACACATCTTGCTGCATACACACGACCACAGCGTGCTGCGGGAGTCCTGCTGCCCCTGCCAGACTTGCTCTGGCTACAGACTGTGTAGAGACTCTCTGCAGAGACTGGGCCTGGAATGGGACCCAAATTTTGACAATCTACCCAGGATAGTAGGAGGTCAACCAGCCCCTCACTTCTCCATACTGCCAATTTTTGAGCTCTTCTACAGGTCAAGCCAAGAAGGGTCATACCCTGAGGTGTAAAAAGGCTCAGGCAGCAGCCCTGCTGATGACTGAGATGTCCACACAGGAGACAGGATTGTGTGGAAGAACTTGTATGTGTCATGAAACCACCTATGGCACAGAACAATAACGCTGCTACTCTCGAGGCCTGGCTTCTGTCCCCAGCTTTGCCATGGCCTTCACAGGGTGATGCTGGGCAAGTCATATCCCTTATCTGTGCCTCCATCTGGGAAAATGTTGCTGCCTTGATTTAGAAGGAGGATAATGAGGACAGATCTTTGGGCCCCAAGGCTGAAGTCCCTGCAGGTTCAGGCTGAGAGCAGATGAGAACACTACCTTTGCCTGACACACCACCAGTGTCATGTGTCAAAGATGACATCATGGCATGTGAACAAGCATTTACCCTCAGAAACAGAAAATAGCAGAAGCATGTGTAATCATTTGCCTTTCATGCCAACATATTTTCCTTATGTAAAGAGAGGCTCTGGCGGCCCTAAGGAGGCTGAGAGATGCCCGTGCTCCCCTGCGAAGGTGGAACTATCAGGCAAGGATGCCAGGGTACCCGCCTGGGTAAATTTGTGCATGCACTTCATGTTGTAATAGACTTTAGTATCTGATAACAGAGCCCTGCTGGAGTCTGGCATGAGGACAGAAGGAATCAAAGGTCATGCCATGAATTCCAGTTATGCTGATAGGCATCTATAGTCAGAGGAAGGAGCTCAAGAACAGGAACTTTAAACTGGTGGGGAGGGTTGAAAAACAGAAGCTGGTTCAGGGATGACAGGTATGGGTCATTTTGGATCCCACCTGGACATTTCGTTGCACATGTTTGCTAGGGACATGGGACAGTGTTTTTCCTGATGGAGTGAACATGAACTCTGCCATTACTAGCTTAACAGACTAAACACACAGCAATAAATGCATTAAATAACTCGCACATGTCCCTCCAGAGGCCTCTCCCTCATGGAGGAGCTGATTCATGACACGGATGGGCTGATCAGCAGATAGGTAGCAGATGCAAACATGCAATGTGTACCTTGCACCAGGGAACCGTCTGCACACGGAAGCAGCTGAGAATGGATATGATAGAGCACCAAGTTGCTCTGCTCGCTGCCTGCTTTTGCCTCGTGAGTCTGACGCTACCACTCACCTTGTGCCTTACTCTAGCAGATGCCTGCGTGGCACAATGCTCTCTGGTGCACACTGGGGGCTGAGAGACTTCACACAAGGAGAGAGACTCTGCAGCTGTGCACAGAGATGGTTCAGCAGTCCCTGCACAGCACAGCTCTGTGCTGGGCTTTGGAGGCAGGAAGAGGAATTTTAAGTTCCTGTGGTACATCCCATAAGAAACAGAGGGATGGGATGGGATGGGATGGGATGGGATGGGATGGGATGGGATGGGATGGGATGGGATGGGATGGGATGGGACAGAAATGAAGGGTGGGGAAGCGGAAGAAAAGCGCCTAGTAAGCGACTGACACTTCTTGTTGTATTGCAATAAATTATTTATTTCTTCTTATTCTTCAATGAAAAGATTCCACTGTTTTCACCGTTTCTCAACATTATCCTCCAGCTTCAGACTAGATGTGCTCACTCTGCCTTTACTTTTCAAATCGTGACTTCTGTTTGGGTTCACCTGCTTCATGGCTGTTGCTTTTTGCCTCATCACAGGTACCGACAAAAGCTTTGATGACAGTCTAAAATCACTTTTGAGACAGGAAAGATCTGGTAAACAGGCAGGAGGTCAAAATAGAGGTGCAGCATAGGCAGGGACAATACAAACTGTTAGCATGTGTTTTCATCAGAGCGTCTTTTTTCCTTACTCCTCTGTTGTTAGTGGAACACATCAAGTAGCAACAGAAGTTACCTTTGAGGAATTGCACGAGGAGTTGATTTTTAGCAACTGAGTAGTCACAGATCCAGACCACTGAAAGCTGGTCCCAAACTCCTGGAAAACTCATGGGGAAAATTTAACAGAGTTCAGAGAGGCTTGGCTTCAACTTCATAGAGAACAGTCTAAAAGTGAAACACTGGGTGCATAAAACCCCACCCATTCAGTAACTACAAGGAAACTGGACTAAAACTGATAAATTTCAGCTTCAGTGAACAGATTAAATCACCCATTTAAATTAGTAAGCAGGAGAGCTTATTTTTAAATATTAAATAAAACCTCTTTTCCATTTATCCTTTTAATTATTTTCCATAAAGAAAGGTTGATAGTCATCAG